CGGGAGGGTAGTAAGGGTCCGGATCTCGACAGGGAGATCATTCCAGAGGGCTGGAGCTGCAACAGAGAAGGCTCTCCCCTGGGGGGTCGCCAGCCGACATTGGCTGGCGGATGGAATCCGGAGGAGACCTAACCTGTGAGATCTAATCGGTCTATGGGAGGTAATCGGCAGGAGGCGGTCTCTCAGGTACCCAGGTCCGATGTCATGTAGGACTTTATAGGTAGCGACCAGCACCTAAGGACATAAGACGAGGACTACCTGTATCTTTGGCATTTCATGGCAACATGAGATAAAAGCTTTCATGCATGTTTAATAGTACTTTCAATTACAAGTTAAGCAATTTCATTCATTCCAGTGAATTAGTGAAACTTCCTCTTAATATTCCAGGCCACTGCTCTAGTCCTCAGCCAGTGGGCAATCCGATTATCAGCACCAACATATTAAACCTAAGAAGTAGCCTACTGACTCTAATTATTGGTGTATTTAAATCTGGCAGGGCATAAATGCTGCAATAAATAAATAAATAAGGCAGAAGTATTATAAACAGAATGCATCAGACTTTCAAATCAGACTTTGCATTTCCAAGATCTTGGAAATGCAAACAAAACATTTAGTCTGCTACCAACAGTAGCCAAAGCCTGCTTGGCAACCTGATCCTATATTTAGAGGTGATTGTACTATTTTCCAGCCGGGCACCAGATTCAAAGATCAGTTAAATTAAACATTGATTTCCACTTCACACTTCTGTTCATCTAGGGAACAGAGACTGAAATTCAGAAACCTATCATAGAGATATGGTAGATAAAACTTTTTATTTGAGTTAATTCAGATTCGTATTTTCTTGTACTTTCTATCATCTGCCATAACTTGCTAGGTGGCTGGGGAGGTGGGGGGAAGAGGCATGTACAGGGTAGAAATGAACCACAGGGAAGGGCTGACAGAAACCAGAGGTGTAAGAGCCAGCTTGCTCTATTCTTCAAGGCCGCAGAGGCTGGAAAAGGAATGTGAACTGCACCAAGTGGCTCTAAACATCTGAGCGGTTCCCAAAACACCTATAAGGCACACCATTGGATGAAGACAAACCAGTCAAGGGAGGAGGGCTTGGGAGAACGGGAAAATCTGTAACTCTTTGTGAGAGAACATTAATTCTAGCCTGCTTCTTCTGCAACCACTAATCCTTAGTAAAAGAGCTTATCACTTCAAATGGAATCGAGGGACTTTCTTTCCTAGGGACCTAGCTGGGGTCAGCCTGACACTTTCTCCCTTTATCCATGCATTAAATGTTTCTTTCTTCCATGAAAAGACAGGATATATACACCAGCAATCCAAGTTATAATTTATTTTTCTCTCACTCACACATTAAAAATTGCTGAGACTTTTGTCACTCTAATGTACTTAAAATGTTGCTGTTGTTTTTAATTACACAGAAGATTGAAGGCTAAATATTGTCTATTTTCTCCCTTTCTCTTTTTAAAGCACTTGGGAATTTGAAATACAGACTTGTGAGTTATTATTTTTACCTCAGTGGTATTGTCTAGATAATTCTGTCAGGTTCACGATAATTAATCTTTTCTAAGATAGAGCATTTCTTTTCTGGATAAGGTGAGCAACAGGAAGCAACCTGTTAGTTGGTTTAGAAGGGTGAAGAGACAGCAGGAAAGATCCCTGTCAATAACCTAGGCTAGAAATTAAGAACAGGTGGGGTGTTTGTCCTGCCTGGAGATATGAGCAAGAAGAGGAGCAACCTCCCTTGCTGTGAGAAACCATCTCTAAGCATGTTGGACTCCAAGTCCCATCTTCTTCCATTTAGCCTGTCCTACCTTCTGTACTTAGGAACACATTCTTCTTGAATTCTATTTCCTTCCTTCTTTCCTTCTTCCCTCCCATCCATCTATCCATCCATCCTTCTATTTCAAAAGATGGCAAGGCACAGAAAACATTTAATAGCACAGATGCAGAGAATCTCTACTAATAACTGTGATTTTCTTTATAGTAACGAAAATTATAAAACAGTGAGAGCTACAGGACAAATCATTATATTAATGTATAATGATAGAGACTACTAATGTACTTGGTGTTCCAGTTTCAGTTAAGTGGCCTTTGGTACATACTGTTCTTACCATAAACATAACCAGGATATACATTTTAGTGCATAAAAATAAGACAAAAACGTTCTAGCTCTGAAAAAGACACGTTTTAAAGCAAGTCCATTTCCCTATAATACATATTAATGCATGAGTTCATAAGTCACTGAACTTTTAAAAATAGATATGGAACCCAGTGTATATCTGACACCTTTATACATAGGAAAAAGTAAAACATTTAGGCTAGAAAAAAATATGTTAGTGATGCGATTTTCATCTTACAAACTAAGCATCTATTATATCCAAATATGAATATAAAATATAACAGCACACTATATCCATACATACAAATATTGGCTTTTATGATATATTCCATATATATATTAATGATAAGGCATGAATATCAGCCTGATTCTCAAGCTTATATCCTTTATTTCTTTGCTGTAACTAGCTTATAGTGCAACAACATTCTCTTTTGCAAATTGATTGATTATGTGCCATCTTATATAATATGTAGTAGCAGCATGAAAATAAATCTGCATAAATAAGATAATTTCTGGAGGTAAGAATCATCAATTGAATACAGTAAGTAGGAAAACTGAAGAAGCAATGTAGATAGATCCATACTATGCATAGTATGGATCTATCTAAGCAGAGTGGTATTTACAAGTATTACACTACCATGCAGATGTGATACACTCTTATAAAACACAAATTTTATAGAGATCCTAATTTCTTCTCACATGAATATTTAACAGAATCAAGTAAAGCCATTTAGCTTAGTTTCCAGCTGCAAGAGAGGGCCCACAAACACCCATGAAATTTCCAGATAACATCTGCATATTGAATGTAAAAACTACTATGAAATTTCAGTGTTGTTTCATGATATTTTGTGAAATTTCAGAATGTCAATGTCTCCTAGGAGATCTTGGGGATGAAAGCAATGAAAACTCATAGGATTTAGGGACTTTTCAAGACTGCTCATTTTTAATGTTTGGATATTGAACTGTATCATCATTCAGGCAATCTCATACAACAGCACCTAAAAACCTGATGGTACCTTATTTTACCGTTTTAAAGTTAGTTAGTTAGTTAGTTAGTTAGTTAGTTAGTTAGTTGAATGGGAAATCTAATTTTTCATGGGAAATGTTTGATAAAACACGAAGTAAACTTGAAGCAACTTTTATGGTTTGGGACACAAATAAATCTTTGAATGGAACAAATATGTTGCATTCAAAAGGTTTCTACTTCAGTTCCAACAGGGAGACCTAGAGGAAACACCAGTGTGGCATGTTGTAAAAAATACTGCTAGATCATTATTGATGGCTGGGCTTAGAGAAAGTGTCTTTTGCAACAATATACATTGAGAAGGCATTTATGTACATAATAAAGGTATATGATTTATTTTTCCATATAGAACTTTGTAAAATATTACCTGCAACATAATCACCAAATCCAATTGTTGTTAAGGTAATAACTACAAAATAAATTGCATCTAATGTATTCCAGCCTTCTATGTGCTTGAAAATGACTGCCGGAAGAGCAACAAACAGAACACAGCCAAACAGTATGAATATTATTGTTGATATTATGCGGATCTTTGTCTGACTCACATTCCATTTCTGTTATGGGAGAAAAGAATAAACACAGGGGATGGAAAAAGAGAAAGAAAAAGGGGAAAAAAGAATCCATTATTAGTAAAGTAATATTTTTCCACCTATGTATATGTAGGTATGCATTTATAAAATGTATAAATCTTTCTACTAAAACCCAGGTGACACCGTCTGCAAAGTTTTAAATCAAAATAGATGGCTAAACAGTTCTAACAATATAATCAAAGGATGGCAGAATAGATTAAAGCCATTGTAAAATCACAAGGTTAAAAAAAGGTTTTTCAACATTTCTCTGTAAAGTATTTGTAGCAGATATACAGTTTATAGGAATATTTAATCACTATCAAAGCCACCAGGTATATATGGAATTATTTATGATGGAAACGAAATAGATGGGTAGGTCTTCATACAAGCATTTATCATGAAATTTGTCTTCTCCCATGGATATTTATCTAGGAGAATGTAATCACTATGAATGGGATTCAATGCCAAGTAACTGTCCATGAAATTACAACCATGTGTAGTGAATAAATGGGAGCAGAGGGAAGCTAAATTTCAAATTTACTCTCATTCTTTTTCATGTATAGAAACTTCAGGATCTATCATGTCAACAAACTTCTGCAAATGCAGTAGGCAGGAAAGGGAAAGGGAAAGGAAAAAACAGTGTAAGGTGGATAGGTGATGTAAATAACATTTAAATGAATATTTATTCGGATGCATTTCACTACAAATTGTTTATAGCAAGAATAATCTACCTTTCTTCAATAGTTCCACCTGCAATAGCTATTCACAGCATGAAGCTAACCTACCACAGTTATAATTACCAAATTTTATATACAGTTATTCAAGAAAGGAAGGATTCTCCCAATAAAAAGTGGGAAATTCTCTTAAGAAGAAAATGATATCATAACAAAAATACCAAATTATATGTCATACAAAATGTTCATACTTTTTTCATGATGTCAAGTGTTGTATTGGTTACATAAAGTACTGTAAGGAAGGAACCTTGGAGGTCTACTAGTCCAACCGCCTACTCAAAGCAGATGACCTTATACTATCCTCAGGTCAAATCGCTGTCCAGTCTGTTTTTGAAAATCTCCCATGATGGAACATCCACAACTCCAGGAGGCACGTTATTCCATTAATTAACTGTTCTCCCTGTCAGAAAAAATTCTCCTTACTTCTAGGCTGCATCTCTAACAAGCGTCCATCAATTACTTGTTTTATTGAACTGTTGATAATTTATTTAGGAAAATGTCATAAATTTGAAATAGGATATTAAATACAAATAAAAAAGCTGAAGGGGGTTTCTGCCTCTATTGGAAGACCTGGAAAAGGGTTCTGTTCCTGTAAAATATAGGAACAGGACACTCTTTCAAATACAGCAAACATTTACCAAAAGATATTTTGAGGGAAATCCCATTAACTCTCTACCTGATTAAGAGAATCAAATTGTTCCCACAGTACAAAATTCTGTCTCATAGATTTAAGCTACCTTCATAATATACTTAGGATCTCTTAATATTATTATAGTTGATATAGGACCAATAATAATAGCACTTAGACTTACCGTATTTTTCAGAGTATAAGACTCACTGGAGTATAAGATTCACCAAGATTTTGAAGAGGCAATTTTTTTAAAAAAGGTTTTGCACTCTGNTTTAATTCCCAGACTATGGGACCACACCAGGAAGGAAGATTTAAAAAAAAGAACAAATGAATGGAGATCATTGTGAGACTACATCCTTCACCAACAGTGCACAACTTGTCTGATGAACTACTAAAATAATGCATCTGTATTGAAGTAACATGTTCTATACAGAACAGAACTAATGCTCTCCCCACAGCTGCTTTGGAAGGGAAATATAGGAAAACCCCACATGAAACCTCACCAGGGACAAGTTGATTAGTGAGATGGCTTTATTATTTTTAACATTCCTTCATCTATTATTATTTTTTTTGTTTAATTTTTATACTTTTTAATGTATTTTCTAACAAATTTGTTAAATTTGTTGTATGCCATTTAGAGTCACTTGTTTGTGAGATGGGTGGCTGAATAAATCAGTTTAATAAACAAATAAATTGTCTCTGTAACTTGATGCTGTAGAAACCACAGCCCATATTCTTTTGTATTATTTTGTCAGCTCTACTGGGACATTGATTATTCTCTTTTATTTAAATTTCTGAGGCACACTGATAACTTTTATTTACATTTGCTGTTAAGCAACCAAAATAAATTTATTTCTCTAAAAATATCAACATTTTGTAATATTATATACTTCACCCACAAATGGTTGCCAATGGTTATTGATGTTAGAGGATAATTTTGCTTTGTTTATTTTACAGAGTATAAAATGAGCAAAAATTTTATGTTCTTTTCTGTACAGCCACTCAGATTCACTTCTATCTGGATTCCACATGGGCAGTGTGTGATGATTGGGATATAACCTAGGGTTATTTTTAGCTGGTTACTCTGAGTAAATGGTGCTCTCTAGGATACCCTCAGTTACCTGCTGGCAGGAACTTTGGATAGCTGGAGGGAAGTTGTTTCCTAGATCCAAGAGATTATTAATTGTTCCTTGACCAGGGGATGATACTGGTATCCTTAAAAGAGGTCACAGCCTTCTTTAGTATCTGGTCTTTTTTTTAAAAATGAAGATGGTTCACAATCAACTACAAAGTACTCTAGATATAAGAATTATCTGGACTCATACTAGACATCATCGGTTGCTCTGACTGATGACTTTTGGCATGATGAGGTGTTATGTCTATTCTAGTCTTGTACAACTTCTCATAAATCTTGGTATCATCCTGACTGTCTGGAGAGTTAGACAATGGAATAAATAGTTCTACTCCTATCTTGGTAGATAGCAATAGCACTTAAATACCTTTTTACAATGCTTTACAGCCCTAAGCAGTTTTACAGAGTAGCTTATTGCCCACAACAATTTGGGTTCTCATTTTACCCAACTTGGAAGGATGGATGGCTGAGTCAACCTTGAGCCTGGTGGGATTTGAACTGCCACATTGCAGGCAGCCAGCAGGCAGCAGAAGTAGCCTGCAGTACTGCACTCTAACCACTGCACCACCATGGTTCCAGTTAGTAGTGATAGGGGAGGAGAAATACACAGTGGTTCTTCCTTTGTACTGTACTTCAGGAATCAATTTTCTCCCTCTCTCTATATAAAGCCAAAGGGAGATGCCATTTAGCTATTTGAGATGATACCCAGATATACATCATGAACCCAGACTGCTCTGAGGATGCTGCCAAAGTGATATTTAAAGTGCTGGTGTTAATCCATAAAGCTTTTTATGGCTTGAGGCTCAGTTACCTTCAGGACCATATCTATGGAACAGAAGTCAATTACAATTGTGGCAAAAGAAATAGATGATTGTTCCTCACTTTTGCAGGATTGGAGGGAGGTCAGACAATTGGGCATATTGTTTTTCAGTGGCAGTGCCAGAATGATCTCTGGTTGAGGTTAGGTCCACACTTACCTTGGACACCTTTCAGAAGAAGTTGAACATCCAACCTTTCCAAATGCCATTTGGGTCATGATTCTCTTTGTTTGGGTTTTATGGATTTTCATTTTTTTAAACTTTGGTATTTTTGTTTATTCTACTGGTAAGCTACTCATTGTTTGTTGGATTGCAGTGAGGTAAAAAACTGAATCAATAATAATAATAAATACTGATACAAATAATACTGATGAAATATAAATATCCAATCTAGGCTATTTATGAGAATAGCAAGGGCAAAAGTCATTAAAATGTTACAGTATTAATAACATCTTTGCAAATTCCTTGGGAGATCCTTACCTCTTCCTTGGTCTTTTTGGATATAACTCTTAGCCAATCACCAATCATGCTCAAGACAGCAGCAAAATATGCAAGACCCACCAGAATCCAGAACCACACAACTGGTTTGTAAAAGTCAAAATATTCAATATCTGATCCCCCTAAAAAGAAATCAAATAAATATAGATTTGTATTGGATACCTGTTACCTGTTATTTATACTTATTTACTATTTATTAAAAGTTATTAACTTCACAGAACAACACAGGTAAGACTAAAGTCAACCCAATATTAAATTAACATAAAATTATATTCCAAGCAGTTTAGAACTTTAATACAATTTCAGTGGTAAAGATAACTTGTTCTTAAATCAAATAAGTTTTTGAACATAATACTAAACTGTGATTTGGTATACCATGAATGTGTGTTCTCCTTTTCAGAAGTATCTGCTTCTGCTTTGAAACTGAACATTTTCTCCATTAAATTGGTAAAGTCTTAGTCAGAAGAATCAGCTCAAATTACTTCTCCTTCTACAACAGCATGGTCATAACTCCTATTTTTAATGTTCACAGAAAACCAACCTCCTAAGTCATATTAACAGTCCATGTTTTTACCCATTTTCCCCTATCAACTTCATTCACACAACCACCTAGCAAACCAGCAGTGCCAAAAACTAATGACACTGATAAAAGGAGAGCTGTGGATTTTCCCAATCCCTCCAATCAGCCAGCTCCAACTACCAGTTCTAGAAGCAACATAGGAACACAGCAATCTTCCTCTTTCCAAACCTTCCATTTTTATTTTACTTATGTACTTGTATTGACAAACTCCTCAAAGACCGGGAATTAACAGTAATTCTGCCAAATTTTAAGAAAGGAAGGAAGAGCTGCCAGAAAGTTATTAGCAAAACAAACTGGTTAACATAGTAAGATTTACAATAGGCCTTCAAACTAAAGGTTGATAGAGTTGTTTCTTGTGGAAATGATTCCCATTGATGAGAGAAGGGCTTTAGAGAGGAAAGACACAAAATATGCCAAAGGATTGTACTCAGCCATTAGTTTTAGACATATACAAGCCACTGCTTGTACTTTATGTTGCTTTTACTGATTTTAATGCCTACATTTCTTGGGAGAAAACTAAAAGCTGTATCAATTAAATGTTGATTGCTTTTTCTTAGCTCTAAGAGCATGTGAATACTGTAGTTAGGGAAGG